ACAGAAACACTGGGTGCTCACACACTTCAGGCACCTTCCAACACTCTAGACATCCAGGCTAACCGACTCTCAGGAAAGGTGCGATTCCCATTACAAAGGGAAGTTTCGCATCTATTGTCTAATGAGCCCAGATGAAGGCACCCACACTGAATAATGCCTCTCATAAAATCAAGGGTCAAATCCAGGACTGGGAGAGCAGCACATACTCACACTAGAGCATAGTGATCCCTCGGCGCAGCTAGCCCTGTCTGGAGAGTCAGTTCCCTGATTCTGCATGATGGATGTCAATAATTTACCACAATACATGGGGCGAGCACCAGGGGTGTCCTTGGGGTGGTTTGAGTCTGCTGCTTAGCGAAGGGCATTCAGAGGGGTACAAACTACATGGTCAGTCAATCAGATGTCCTTCAGCCACCTTTCACATGCCTCTCCCAGCAAGGACTGACTGACTGACCAATGCTTAGCTCCCATTAAAGCCAGTAAGAATTTTATCACTGGGTTCAGGCTCAAGACACCTTTTTTTATTAAACACTTAAAGGAACTTCCAGGAGATTGTCAGCTCTTTGCAGACGGGGCCATCTTTTTGTTCGGTGTCTGTACAGCGCCTAGCACAATTGGGTCCTGGGCCATAACTGGGCTTCTACGCACTACCATAATACAAATAATAAACAACAATCATCATAGCAGGGCCCATGTTTGGAAGGGCAGATCTTAGGGGCTCAACTCCCGTGCGGTATTCCTCCGGTGCCCCAAATGCCACAGGCACCCTCCACTCCAAATGCACTCACCCCTAGCTTCCGTTGGACTAAGAACATGCAGTAAGGAGGAGGCTGAGATCCATGTCTCCCCTCTGCCCAGAAGGATCAGGCATAGCCGAACTCTGCTCTTCACAACATCTATAAGTTATTCCAGCACAAGGGATCCCCTGCAGCTGGCCTCGTGTTCTGTGTGTGTGTTCGACAGAAGTTGCGTGGTTACTTAATTTTTAATGCATTAATTATAGTTGATTGCCCACTTCCACCCTCACCTCCCAGGAAGTGCAGCTTTAACTTGTTCTCACATTGGCTGGGAATCATTTTTCCTCCACTGTATTGCTAGCCGCCGCTTGCACCATCTCCCGCTGTCACCAGCGTGTCACAGCCCCAATTAGGCTTTCGGATGCACCTCTCTTACTGGGTCTCCACAGGCCTGGTACACCTGGGGGAAGCAGCACCCGCTTCCGGCTGTCACCAAAAGGAGGTGCTGCTTTCTGTTCATCGCTGCTTACGGGCAGTGCGATTGAAGCAAAAAGATAAGCTTCGTGCCTCTGATGGCTGGGAGCAAAGGGGTGGCTGGTACAATCCAGCTGTAGGCTGCCTGGGGTTTTAGAGTACCCAGTATAAAGGGGATGAGGAAGGTAGTAAGTAACGTACCTGCTGGTAGATTCTTCTCAGCACAGCAGGGAGGGGGATCCTCTGCCTGCACCTTACCAAACAAAGCCACTGGCGCTGGGCCTCACCTGCCAGCACCTCAGCCAAACCCCTCCTCCTTCCCCCTGCACACTCAGCTAGTCACAGACACTCAATATTTCCACAAAGAAATGCCAGGTATTTACAGAGACTCAGAGGAGCAGCCCTGCACGTGGTCTGGAGCACCAGAGTCAGACAAGCAGGGCCTAGTGACGAGTGCACCAGAAATACCCAGGACATACAGGGCGATTTCCCCCGCCCTATTTGTTAGGAGTTATTTTTATTAAAGGCATATTCGGTGCCAGCCCGACAGCCCTGGCAGAACGGAGTGGTCTCTCCACAGGGCAGGTACAGCATGGGCAGTGGCAGAAGAAGCTACACACACACGCAAACCCTGAGCCCCAAAGATCCTAGTAGCCGCGAGAAGATATTCCAGTCTCCATGGCACAGCAAGTCCTTGGGCTCACTGCTGCAACTGCAAGCATCGAGGGCCATTCATTGCCTGCTAGGAATGGAAACTCATCCAACTCATTTCACTAAGGCCACCAAACTGACATCAGATGGAGTCAAGTTGTCGCTCCCTGCCAGCTTGGCTGGATACAGTTAGATGACACAGAGGCCAAAGGACCTGAATCCCTGTATGCCAAGGCCCTGAACTGTCAAATTCTCCTTTGTATCCATTCCCTTCCCTCCTCCCCCCAATCTAAGCATATCAACAAAAAGGCCCAGCCAAACCTTGCTTTCTTTTATGATCTGATCATCTTAGTCTATACGCTTAAGTTCAGATCCAGAGTTTCTTTAGGGTGAAGAGCGATGCTATGAGACGGTGGTTTCCTTGAAAGCATTTTGGTATGAAAATTGCCAGGCTGAATGATACCTGCCCTTAGCTGTTAGAGATTATATTATAAATACAAGATATCAATACATACAAACACACCCCTTCTTATCTTTACCTAGTATTTAAATTACATTGTGTGACTACTTACATAGAATATATCTACTTTATACTACTGATTCTTCTACAGGAGAGTTATACTCCAGCCGCTGAGTGGGGTTATGAAGCATGGCAGGTGCTGGAGATCCTTCCTAACACTACCCTTATGATGGTTTATTAGCATTTATCCATTTTAAGAGCTAAGAAAGGACAGACTGGTATGTAGATAAAGCACAGGTCTGGGAGTCTGACCTGGATTCTAGTCACAGCAGCCCATGACCTGCTCTGTGACCTTGGGTAAGTCACTTCCCCCTTTCTATGCCTCTCTTTCCCCATCTGCAAAATGGGGGTCACGATACCAGCCTACCTCACAGGAGGCAGAAAAGTACCTGGTGAGAAGCGTGAATGTTTTGTCACAACAGGGTTTGCACTGGGGGGAGAAACAACATGAACGCCTTTAAATGGCTCCTGAAGACAAGAGCAGGGCACTTGGATATCACTCCACAGCATAAAGTGTGACCCAGCTATTGCTTTCTAGAGAGGCATTCCCTGCATGGTACAAGTGCCTGCGTGTCTGGGCCTGCTCGACCGGCAATACGTCCCTACAGAGCCGTGACCAGTTATCTACAGAGGCGGCAACCTGGCTACGAGGTCTCCCCCTAAGGCAGCACCTCCATTGCAAAGTACTTCAGCCACCACTACAATGTGCTTCCTTAGAGCCACCTCACAAACGCTCCCTCTCCACATACAAGCCGGGGGTAGCAGAGACGGGAAGACGTTCTCTGTTGCAGCATTTAAAACCCTGACTCACGCCACACGGCTCTGCACACAGATCGGCGGCAAGATGGGGGACAGGGCCACGGCCACTTACCTCAAAACTATCCAATTTAGACTGACTCTCTTTTCTGGGGGAGGAACAGACAGCCACTGCCCTGCCCCCAGCCCCGCCACCTATGTACCATTGCTCTTATTTATGATAGACAAAAGGAAGCCCCACTGGGACCTCACACTTTTCTTCCCTGCCCTCTGTGCTCGCCATTTCCCTGTTTGTTAATTCATTAGAACTATGGGTCAGCTGCCCAGAACTAATCAATCCGAACTGTATTTTCTGTGGAGATGGGGTTGGTTTTTTTTTTTTTTTTTGACAAGCAATGTTGTCCAACAAGGCCTCCAAAGCCATGTTTCTGGGCACCATTCCCTTCCCTCCCCCCGGCACACCACCCCCAGGGCCCCAAAATATTGATGTTCACGCCTGACTCCGAAATGACACCCACTATGCCCTTTCTGTGTATGCAACCTAGTTTACACAGAGTTAACCCAAACCTGCATGGTTACCTACGGAAACGCATACACAAATGAGCATGTTATTTTGGAGATTCATATAACTAAGTTTACTTTGTTTGTTACCCCAAAAAGCAAGAGTATGAAAAAATATTGCAAACCTGATGCACGGCTGAAAATTACGCATCTAGTTAATGACTCGTTAGTACTGTGACTGTGTGACTAGGCACAAAGTGTGTAATACACAGCCAGCATATTATCTTCCAGTGTATGTGTGTGATATGGATGTGTTGTACATGCATATACACAATGCAGTTGCTAAAGACAGACATAATACCCTCCGGAGTCAGAAGGGGAAGCAGTTATATTTGGGGGAGCTACTGCAGCGCGCGTTGGAGGGAAAAGGAGGCAGTTTATATAACGCAACCTATTGGCTCTACGCACGCTATCTATGGATCATATATTGCACGCAAGGCCTCTTTGGAACTGTAGCTCCAGCAATCACACGGTCAAAGCCCAGAGGCGCAAAGTAGAAGCAAAAATATAAATTCAAATCTATCACAGGCCACTGACTTAAAAACTTAAAACTGAAGTGAGAGGCAGGCGCAGGGCAGAAAGCGAGAGCACCCGAGGGAGCGATTGGATGTTTTGAAACTGAAAACTGTTGAATTATTTGGGGTGGGGGTGGGGAGAAGAGAGAGAATCCTGGGATTTAAAAAAATAATAATCCACTAACCAGAGGGGAAATGAGCCCCTCCAGGCCGAGGGTAAACACTGAGGGGGGAGGAGGCAGCAGAGGGGGCCATGGATACAATGTCCTTCCACAACCAAAGGACCCCAGCTAATACAGAGTGAAACCCACCAGCTTCCCCGGGGGGGAGCTCAAACCCACTGGGGGGTGGGGAGAAGGGGCTGGGGGCAGTTCCACCCCCTCATCCTCTCTAGTGTTCCAATGGGGCTGATCCCTTCCCAGGCCAGGCCCCCGCAAGCAGCTCCAGTGCCCAGGCAGAGTGGGAAGGGCTGCCCCATGCAGCTGCAGTTTCGGGGTAGGGATTGCGGGGGGCTCTTCCCCCGAACTAATCTTAGGACAGGGCCCCCCAGGACAGGCGAGCTCAGCTGGGGGAGCGGGGGGGGGGAAGTGTTGGTGGAACCTCCTCCCCACAGAGAGAGATCAGCTGGGGGCGGGAGTGTGAACCCCATGGGGGAGCCCCTCCCCACCCAGAGCGATCAGCTGGGGGGGGGAGAAGAGTGTGTGCCCCCCCCCGGGGGGGCAATGGCTAGCAGCCGCCTCTCGCCTTTCAGCAAAGAAAGACCCTCCCGGGCTGGGGGGCGCTTACCTGCCCCGTGCTCCGGAGCGCTCGGCCGGCCGCGGGCGAGCAGGGGGTGCCGGAGCCGGTGGGGGTGACAGGGGCAGCAGGAATGCGGGGAGCGCGGCTGGCTCCGGAATCCGCGCAGGGAGCCAGGCGCAGGGAAGGGAAAGTTTGTGCAAGGGAGGAGCAGAAAGTTGGGAGTCAATCAGGAGGCAGCTGGGCTGGGCTGCGCCCTCCCCCTCCCTCCCTTCCTTCACATGGCCTCCAGCCCCGGCCGGCCCTCCCCCGGCCAGGGACCGGGACAGCGCCCCCCGGACCGGCTGGGCTATGGGGGTCCCCCTCTGCTGGACACGGGCTGGGATACTGGGGTTCCCCTCTGCGGGAAGGAGGGGACGGGGTCCCCCTTGTTGGAAGGGGGGTGGGGCATGGGGGCTGGGGTATTAGGGTCCCCTCTGCTGGAAATGGGCTGAGATACTGGGGTTCCCTTCTGCTGGAAGGAGGGAACGGGGGTCCCCCTTGTTGGAAGGGGGGTGGGATATTAGGGTCCCCCTCTCCTGGAAACGGGCTGGGATACTGGGGTTCCCCTCTGCGGGAAGGAGGGGACGGAGGTCCCCCTTGTTGGAAGGGGGTGGGGCATGGGGGCTGGGGTATTAGGGTCCCCCTCTGCTGGAACTGGGCTGAGATACTGGGGTTCCCTTCTGCTGGAAGGAGGGGACGGGGTCCCCCTTGTTGGAAGGGGGCTGGGGTATTGGGGTCCCCCTCTGCTGGAAAGGGCCGGGATACTGGGGTTCCCTTCTGCTGGAAGGAGGGGGCTGGCGTATGGGGGATTGGGGTCCCCCTCTGCTGGAAAGGGCTGGGGTATTAGGGTCCCCCTCTGCTGGAACTGGGCTGAGATACTGGGGTTCCCTTCTGCTGGAAGGAGGGGACGGGGGTCCCCCTTGTTGGAAGGGGGCTGGGGTATGGGGGATTGGGGTTCCCATTTGCTGGGAAGGGCTGGGGGATTGGGGGCCCCCTTGTCGGAAGTCTGCTGGAATACTGGGGTTCCCCTCCGGTGGAAGGGGCTGGGCTATTGGGGCGCCCCTCTAGGGGCAGGGGAGGGGATAGGGGGATATAAGGGGTCTCCCCTCGGGGGGATCCTCTCATGCATGGGCGGTGGGGGGGGTCTCTCCACGCTGGAGAAGGGGGTGCTCTCCGGGGGGGGCAGAGACCCGCCCTGCCAGCGGGCGGGGGGCACAGGCCTGGCCATTGCCCTGGGGCTGCAGCAGAAGAGCTCGCGCCCGCCCCCCAATCACGGCCTCGGACTGCGCTGCTGACGTCAGGCCTGGCGCCGCGCCCGGCTCCAGTTCCCGGCCAGAGAGACGGGCTCGCGCCCCAGCCCACGCCTGCCCCGGGCTTACGCCAGGCCCCGCTGCTCAGCCTCCCCCGGCAGCGCCCCCTGGGGGAGCCGGCCGGGAGCTGGCGGGGCCCAGGCCGTCAGCTGCTCAGCCCTGGGTTCCCACGCTGCGCCCCTGACCCAGGCTTCAGGGCTGGGGGGCGGGGAGCTGAGCCCGGGGACCTCGCCCTTTCCCCGGGCATCTGCTCTGACCCCAGCCTGCTGGCCTCCCCTTGCCCTTCCTGGCTCCCCGGAGCCTTTCCCAAGAGCAGCCTTGTGCACAAGTCAACGGCACCCCAAGGTGGAACCAGACCCCAAACTCCCCCCGGATTAGCTCCTGTCTCCCTGACTACTTAGCTGTTGGGCCCCCTCCGCTCTTCCCCGCACACCGCTGAGGGTAAACCCTGGGAAGTTCTGGTTACCGACCCGCTTCTCATTTGGGGACCATGGAGTTTGCTTGTTGACCGACCTTTTTTTTTTTTACCATTACACCAGTGCAGGACACCTAGGCTTGTCTTCATGTTGTCCTCCCCTTTCGCACACACCATCTTATTAACATACCACTTCAGACCCAGGTTTTCAAGGCGCACTCAGGGCTGTATTGCCTAGTGCCCAGCACCCACAAGTGGGGCTGGATCTTCCAGGGCCCAGATCCCATTTAGGCACTTTAATAAAGGACCAATTTTTCAAAAGCATGCAGCAGCTCCCACCGTGGCACCGATGGGCAGATTTTTTCCAAAAAAACTCATCCCCCAGTGTGCTGGGCTCTTCTGAAAACCCGGCCACTAATTTTGGTGCCTAAATAGGAGCTCAGTTCTGTGGAAAATCTGGCCTTGGTTGCAGATGCTGAGCACTTGGAAATACAGCCCTTGCGGTCTAGTTAGATTGTAAGGTCTATGGGGGCAGGGCTTCAGTGCTGGAACTAGGGGTGCTGGGGGTGCTGTCGCACCCCCCTGGCTTGAAGTGGTTTCCAGCACATACAGGGTTTACAGATTGGTTCAATGGCTCTCAGCACCCCAACTATACAAATTGTTCCTGGAGCAGGGACTGTCTTTTTATTCTGTATTTGTACAACCCTTAGTATAGTGGGGTCCTGGTTCATGACTGGAGCTCTAGGCAGTACCAAAATACAAATAATAATTGTAAATGCTTTCCGTGTAGTTGGTAAAAATTCACAGTTAAATGACTGCTCACAGATTGAGCGTTTCAGGCCATGATCTCTTGTCAGTTTATAAGGCTTGGGCTTTGCTTTTTTAGTTTTCATTTAGAACTTGTTTTATTCGAGTGACTCAGGACTAGACAAACACTACCAAGGCCTGTTAAGCTACAGCCACCCCGCACATTCAGCAATCTAACATGATGAATAAAACAGCATCAAACTCTCCTGCCCTTGACAGGTGCCTATTGCTAAGCATCTGGTCCAAGCAGTGTAATAAAGGCCTAATCCTGCAAAATTTAAGAACCTGAGTCATTTTGTGTATGGGAAGAGCAATGGGACTATTTGTGTGTGTAAAGTTAAACACATGCATGAGTGGTTGGGACCTTATTTTGTTTAAAGAATCAGATTGAAACTTCTGTGTTGTTTGGATCTGCCCCTTATAGAATGAGGCAAAGTTCAGATCCAGTGGTTTGATCCAGTCGTGGGTCAGAAGTCCATAATACTTGCCGCTGCTATTTCTCTTCCATGGGTGGGAAACAGCCACTTCCATTTCCAAATTATAACATAAAAGTGAGGCAAGCAATAAAGCCATAAATAATATTTCCCTGTGGCTGGAAAGTCCGAATCTAGGCAAAACAACAAGACTAACTACAGCATTGTAAAAAAACCAAACTTGTCCTGACTCGATTAAAAAGACTGTATTTTAAGTCAGTAACAAAACATTGGCTTCCCAATTAGTCCTGGTAGTTCATGGCAAAAAAGGAAGCGACTACTCTAATCATCCAGAAGGCCAGAGATCAAGATTGGTGGCCAGAGGATTCCCTTCCTCTTCTAAGGATTTAAATTACAAAGTATATTAAAATAGACAAACCAGAGTAAACAAAACAAAAACACAGCCTCTAATGTTTAGCCCTGGTTAAAAGTATTGGAGTGAGATACCTGCTTGCTGAGAAACAGCATGGTCTAGTGGGGCAGGCACTAACTTGGTGCTAAGGACCCCAGGGTTCTAATCCTGCCTTTGTCACTTATCTGTTGGGTAAGTTTAGTCAATTACATCTCCTCTGGGGGCTTTTGTTTGTCTGATCTATTGAGACACTAAATTCTTCAGATCAGGGACTATGTGCATGTCCAGTGCCCAGCCCAGTGGTGCTACTCTAGCAGTAATAATCAAGTGCTTGTCCACCGAGCAGGTACCACACGAACAGCCCCAAGTACAGAGTCTGAATTCCCTATGCCAGTTTAACTCCATTTGTTCCAGTGCCATTTCTCCTCATTTACACCGGTGTGAGAGAACCAGGCCTCTCCCCAACCTGCCTCAGGCTTATGGAGCTGCCACCCCTGTTCATTCATATATTTCCATGCAGTGGAATAACTCCCCATCTGTCACGTTGAACCATTAGCACAGGGAGTGCTGGATGGCATTGCGTGAGGACACTAATGCACGTAGGCCTTGTGGAACCGGGTTTAACTAGTGGCAGAAAGGGGCCTGGCCAGTGATGATTGTGAGAACAGGGGGTGGTGTGGGAGCATCACCAAAAGGGGGCAAATGAGGAGCAGGAGCCACCAGGAGAGAGGTTTGGGCAGCGCACGGGTAGAACTGAGGACCAAGATGTAGGCTGGGCAAAGTGATGAGAAAAGAGGCCTGGTCATTGTCTGTGGCCTACAGTATGCGGAGGTTGTGCAGGATCAGGACCCAGACACAGCGGCAGGCCAATCACAACCAACTTTCGCGGTGGGCAGGCTGTGAGCATGAGGCCTTGAACTCATCGCTTCCTGCTTACTGGTAGAGCTGAAATTTGCCTGATAGGCAGAGCATCTACTGGGGACTCCAACCACAATGTTCTGAGTGACCCTGTGGCCACTGGCTCGAAGAGCAGGAGCCTTGATTAACCAGCCCTGGGAGGTAAGGCTTTACCCTACCTTAGAGTGTAATATTTTTTTTTCCACTTTCCATTGCGTGCAACTGTCTTAGAATTGTGAAACTAAAATGCATCTCCCTTCTGGTTTCCCCACCCGCCCACGCTCTGGGCCTCTAATGGGAGGCATGCCATTAATATGGCTGAGAGTATTTCGCTTTGGGTGAAATTCAGCCCTGTGGAGGGAGTATACGCTGCCACACTTAAGACCTCCAACTAGAACTTAAGTGAGGCATAGGCCTCATGCTCAGCACAGGAGCATCGCTCAGTGTGAGTTGTAAAATCCTTTAAAAGAAAAATATTTTAGGCCTAAACTACGTTGATAAGGTCTCTTATTTTTTGATCTTTCCCTGCAGCAAACATTCCTTTTGCCCCTCCCACTATCTTCATGCATTGGTCTTTCTTTGCATCCATCACACTCTCGATAGCACAAAACAGATGCACATTTCAACTGCTTCAACCCTTATTCTCTTCTGCTGTCTCTGGCACTAGCAGCCGGAGCAAACAAAGGACCAAGTATCTCCTGCCCTCCTAAATTGTTTTCAGTTGTTTCTTGTAGTGCAGTTGGTTTCAGTTTTGATTATTTGCAAGTGTAACCGAGTTTGAGATTACTGGTGTGTGCGTTAATTGTTGTTGGCTGCATGCATGTGTTGCTAGAATTGTGCTAGTTGTTTATACACTGTGGGGTCTGTTTTTCAATTGGCTTTGTGTTTGCTCTCTGCGGTAGTGTTACAATAATTGTTTAGGTTGTGTTGGGCTGGTATTTGGATTAGGTAAACATATTTTTCTAGGGATCAGAGGCAATAATGGATAAAACTGAAAAAATTCAGATGTTTGACTTGGATGGTACTCACCCAAAAAAAAAAAAAAAAAAAACACACACTCTAGGGAAAGTTTTGTGCCAGGCCTTTTAATGAAACTTATAGGTGCCCCCTTTCTGATGGATCCAAATAGCACTGAACTGCTGTTCTTGGTGTATTTTGGCTCTTCGTTTTCCATCTATGCTCAGGTAATCATGAAGAGCATGAAAAAACCCACCCTCAGAAGGTATCCAGACTTTTTCCAGTCTCGGCAGAGGTTTGGTTCCAGTTTGGAATCTGGGCTGAAAGTTCTTACTTTCTACACTTTGATTATCCCTAATCAGAGGCTGCAGGCACAGAAGAACAGTGAATGTAATGGGGACAGAGCCTCTGATCTGGAACAATGCAATCCGACCCTCTGATCTAGAACAGTTGGGTCTGACCTGCCTAATGCTCCACCTTTTAAGCACACAAGAGGTCCTCAGCTCTCATTGTGTGGTTGTAGGAGATAAGTCTTGGAGGTGCCCAGGTTGCCTGGTGGTGGTAGGATGAATTATCCCCACCATCTCCTCCATGCTTAGGCCCTACCTTTTTCCTGATACAACAAGGCTACATCCTGGTAAAGGGGGATGAGCTACAAAACTCTCTAGTGCCTCAGACAGAGGGTGGCTGATAGCAGCCCATGGACCCACTCCCGGTGAGAACATGGATGGCTGTTGCAAAAGACGACAGTTCTTTGGGAGTTCCTCTGAAGCACAGCCTTTGTTTGGTTTTTTTAATAATTTGTCTTTAAAAATCAGTCATCTGGGATCACAAACATTACTATGTGTTAGTCATTCTGATTATTGCACGACCCCACATGGCACAACAGGGGTAGGAAGTCAGGGTCTGGTACCTACCTACCCCTGACAACCCACAGGGTAGGAAGGGGTGCAGTGGCTCAGTGAAGGCTGCTCTCTTCTTTGCACTGTGAGCAGTAAGGAGGTACTTTATACCCCGTTACTACACTGTGTGGCTGGGCTTACGTGGACCTGCCTCAGTGCTGGGGCCTGGACTGGATGACTTCTTGAGGTACCTTCCAGTCCTACATTTCTAAGATTCTATAATTAGCACTGGGTCGTTGCCTCTCCAGATTTTCCATGGGAGATCAGAGGCCATGACCCCCGGCTCCCTGCTAGTTTTGGGGCTGCAGCTCTGGTTTCTTCCCCCCCCCACCCCCAAGCGTTCATCACCACTGCCTTATTCATGGATTTGCTTGGGAGCCTCGCCATGGCAGTACAGTTGAGTTGTCACTCCACCGAGGGAGTTTATGAAAGAGAAGCAGGGATAGAGTCCCTCCCCCCCCTCAGAACAATTACTGTTAAAGGAGTGGAAAGGGTGACAGCTTAACAGTTAATAGTGACTTCCTTACTGCGTCAATTTACAGAGCACCTTCCAATCCTCCTGATACACCGACCTGCATGATTCACTGACAGACAACAGTCATCTGATGCCCCACAGCACTTGGCAGCAGTTTAGGACAGGAAGTGAAGAACAGCATGGCATCCAATCGAAGCACAAAGGAGACTGTTCAGTAGGCAAAAGCTCGTTACCCAAATTAGCCCTGGTGTCTTGGCCAAATTTCAAAACGTACCTGCTCTTCCAGAAAACACCCTGGAGAGCTGAAGTGACGAGTGGTCAGAAGGCTGGGCTGGGAGGACTTCTCAGAGAGACAAGGCCATGCCACTAATCAATACACAAGGACTGACTCAGAAGGAAGAGCGCCACGCCTTCTGAGTCATGACCAGCACTTCCTGGAGCACCTTGCATTTCCCCCTTGAGGTCTCTTCTCCAAGTAAGGACCCAACCCAATCATGCTCAGCTTGTCAGGTGGAACCGGATCCCAGCCAGCGGTGGTGTGGCTGCAGGCTGCACTGCCTGCTAGGCAGGGAGGCTAGAACAGGGGTAGGAGCGTTTGCAATTCATATTCATCCAATAAAGGTAACTCAAGGCCCAGTCTGTCTTTTAAGAGAGTCCCCTCCCATTAGGCATTAGGAGGGGGCTGGCTCTGAATCTTTCCTTTGTGGAGCAGCCCAGCTGCGTTTACCTTCCATCCACTTGATGCGAGAGATTTTACATTACTGTGGCCTCAGCTGGTTGCTTCAATATTTGCAGCCATTGGCAAGATTTGGACACTCAAAGCAAGTGGCGCTGGGGCCATTCTCATTCAGAAAGGCCTGTAGGGAGGGAAGGAGGGAGATGACATACACCATGCAGAGGGGATTTGGAGTTCCTCAAGGGCCGACTCCTTGGCGCGTAAGGAAAGGTTAACGACCTCGAAGCATGGACAGAGACTCAAATTGCTCAGCATTTTATGTAGCACAGCGAGTGCTCAACGGCACCTGCTCACAATGGCAGCGTTTTATATCCCGTTTGTGCTGCTATCAATGACTATGCAAGACACAGGGCAATAGAGAATCAGGCCCTGGGTGTAAGAAGCAAGGCAGGAGGGGTCAGAGCTGGGGCCGTTGGGAACCAGGGTGATAGGATACAGGGAGTGGATAAGGCTGAGGGTGGGAGCTGGGAACAGGGTAGGGATCCGGTACAAGACTAGAAGTCAGGTAGCAGACAGCAGGGTCTGTGGTAGCAGCAAACCAGGACTCACCTTGTTGCACAGACACCTTACTTGACAGCTTTCAGAGTAGCAGCCATGTTAGTCTGTATCCGCAAAAAGAAAAGGAGGACTTGTGGCACCTTAGAGACTAACAAATTTATTTGAGCATAAGCTTTCGTGAGCTACAGCTCACTTCATCGGATGCATTACTGTGTCTCTTTCTAGCTTAAATAGTGTACTTGGCCCAATCAGGGACTCTGGAGCTTCTCCAATCAGGTGCCTGTGGGTGACACCTTATCCTTACCCCAGTACTCCAGTCACTAGTAGACCCGTCGGGTGGTGCTGGTGTTGTGGATGCAGGCCCAGGTTCAGGGCCTGCAGATAGTCACAAGGGGCCACTTCCCAATGGGTGCACCGGGGGGAGATGGTAATGCCTAGGTTTGGAATTAGGTCCATCTCTGCTCCTACAAAATCCAGGCAAGCTCTTTACAAAGCTTGGGCCAGGTGCTGGTTAGAAGTGCCTTCACAAGTACATACCATGAACCAGCTGTGTCTGCTGCATAGCTAGAGGCCAGAGTATTGCTCTTCAAGAAATCAATACATCTTCTGCCTGGAGAGGGAGGAATCACATTGGCTGGACAGTGCGAGTGAGGGATACTTACCCTTCCATTCCCTTGCTGTACCTATTCTGGGGATAGAGAAAGCACTCTGGTCCAGCACAAAGTTCAATTTCATTTTTTTAATGAACAGAGACTTGTCACCACAGTTTTTCATTTATTGACCGTTATCATACAAAGAAAACAAATTAACTGCCTCCCACACTCCTTTGTTATTTAAATCTAATGCTACAATATATAAAACAGAATCTAAAAACCTCTAAAAAAGTACTTCCAGGACTCCGAGGAACTTCCTGAAAGGATGAAGTCAGAGTAACCATTGGGCTCATCTGCTAAGTATATAGAGGGAGCGATTCTGCTTTGTGGTCTGGGACCAGTGACCAGTTCTGAACCACCCAGAGACTCGATGGAGACAAGAGTACATGATATTCTGGTATTCTACAGTAATGATCCAACCCACTATAGCTTAAAAGAGCATCCCTGCAGTGCTTGGGGCCATCTCTTCCATCAGGGTGGAAGCTGAGGAAGACAGAACAGTGACTGTGTGATATCTGACCTGCTACACCCTAATCGGTAGATACATATTTGCATTTAACGACTCCACTTGGTCTCCTTCAGCACCACTGTCCAGGTGTGCACAGGTAACATTAGTAATACCAGTCCAGCTGTTATTCACATCTGCAGAGTGATTCACGGGTTCTCGATTGTCAGCACAGATCCCCGTATTGTAGGCAAACCCCTGTCTAGCTCAGCCCCTCCGACTGGCCTAGGCTCAGGACAGCTCAGGGACGTAGGGCTCCCAGGTGTGTTATTCACAGGCCAGCTTCCCATCAAAGCTGGACAGGGCAATGGCGAAAGCCTGCACGGCGCACATGGGATAGTTGTAGTCCATGGTGAAAGCGTCGTCCGCCACGCGGCCGAACTGCATCACAATGTAGTCAGCTGAAAGAGAGGAGGTAAGAGGCCACCAGGGCAAACATGCACACAAACAGGTTCCTGGGCTGGTCTGAGTGCCAAGGGTCAAAGCCCCACACCCTCGACTCAGCCAGGCAGCCAGAACTCTGGCTTAGGAGACTGCCCAAGGCTACGCAGTCTCTGGCAGAGGCCAGAACAGAATTCAGATCTCCAGCGGCCTGGTCCCTCCCAGTCACTTTGAACCTTGTGAGCCGCATCAGTTTCCCCATCAGTGACCCAGGGATAACTGAACGGGTTGAGAGGCTTGATTCATTAATGCTTTGAGATCCCTGACGAGGAGGAGGCACCAGATGAACTGCTCCTCTATAGCATCCAGAAAACCCACGAGGAAGTCCATCTGGTGACATTTCCAGCTCAGTTTTTCAGATCCCAGAGGCTGAAGTCATACCCCTAGGGATCTGAATGCCAAGGGGCTCAGTTTGAACCCAACCTCTGCAGTTTGTCCATCGAAGGTGACCTTCCAAAGAAGCAATGTCGCTTGCGTCACGTCTCCGCGTTTGAGTGTGTGGGTCCTGCACCTGCTGCCAGCTCCCAGGCGGTGGCTGAGCGAAGCACCGCGCCATGGGGGACTGAACGGCCGCGGGGCTCTCGCTCAAATGTCAAACCCAGCAGAGCAGGAGGGGGCTGAGCAGGGTGGAGGCAGAGCTCAGCCACCTGCCTGACAATAAGCGTTGCCATTTAATCAGCAGAACCAGCCCTGCCCCTCTCAGCGCCGCTCCCTTACTGATAGGGTAAGAGACCACAGGAGCCCCAGACCCTGCCTCTCCCAAGGGGAAACTGATCCCTTGCTAGAATTCCTGACCTGACCATTCTCAGCACTGCAACTCAGTGGCACTCCCCCAGCCTCTCCTTTTTCCTTTTGTTACAACAGCGAGGGTGACAGGAAAGCTGTAAAAATAACCGGGAGGCCCCCTGACAGGTTCTTTCTGTCCTGTAATCCAACACTCTGGACACAAACGTCCCCTGATTGGACTGGACAGGTGACAGGCAGAAGAGTCTCTCACTGCTTTGCACACTTCATAAAGCCGCTGAGCTGCCCTCGCTCACATATTCGCAGGTGGTCTCTGCCTTGAGTCTGGGGCACAGGGTGGGTGGAGCCCGACAGCCCCCAAGCAGTCAGCTGTCTGAACTTCGAACCCTCTGACTGATCCTCAGGGACCTTCCAAATCCAGCCAACTCATGAAGCCAACCAAGTAAAATGTCGCTCTGTCTCCAGCATCAGCCGAGTTGGAACGGAGCCAACACAGGATTGTTTCGCCCTCTGGGTGAGACTCCCCCGCCCCGGAGCAGAGGCTGTACGAGGTCTGTGGATTGCTGAACTCCCACTTATGCCCAGGGGCCAGAATTTTCAAAGAGTCTCATCACACCCCCCAACTTGGGGCCAGGTTTCCCAAAGAGCCCAGCTTCCCAAAGCTGATCACCTACCTAGCCTGACCTCCGGAAAAGCACAGGCCCCCGAGAACTGCCCCAAATCATTCTTCCCTCTATGGTCGTACATGGGATGCGGGGAGTTCAGATGCCATGGATTCAAAACCAGCCACAAAAGGGGCCCATGTAACACTGGTGTAAGCAGGTGCTCAGCTATTGGCATCGGTGGGAGCTGGGCTTGCTTACACCAGGGCTGGATTTGGTCTGTGACCCTTCCCGGGCTCTACCCTTTGCTTATCGAATGGGTTTCGGTGCGGGGTGCTCACTGCCTCTCTTGTCCCCCTTCCCCCAGCTCAGGACCTGGGCCCAGCGGGCCCAGGTTGGGGCAACCTGCTCCTGGAGCTGTCCCCGTCAGCGGGGCCCCCACCAGGAATGGCCAGCGGCACCGACGGCCTGGGTGGGGACTTCTGGACAGCTTCGTCCTAGGGCCTTATCCTAGTTATTCATCCAGTGACCAGCAGCGAGAAACTGAGCCAGGAGCCCTTGTTTAAAGGCCAGGAGGGGAACAGTTTCCTTGCAGCTCGAACCGCGCCCAGGGAAGGTTCCAGGCTCAAGCTGCACGAGCCGGGCTGGGGAATGGCAGAACTTGGGCAGGCTCCCCCGTCCACCAGATCCAGGTAGCCCCAGTCCCCTCGCACAACCTGCCTGGCCCTCTGGCTCCCCCTGGTGCTCCACTCCAGCACGATCCACACGGAGCACGAATTTGGCCCACCATGGGCACAGAGCTATGAGTAGCAAGGCTCCTCAGGGGTACCATTCTGCTTGGACAATGGGCCAAACACTCCCTCGGAGCAGGTTCCTTGCAGAGCGTAGCCCCTTATTTAAAGTGAGATTATGGTCCGGAAACTCACACCCAGACTCCTCTCAGATCAAATGGACTGCAAGTTTCCAAGCGGGAGCAGGACCTCTCCAGCTGCAAATCCCACCACTCAGCCTGCTGGGACCGTTCCTTCTCCCCCGCTGTAAAGATTCTGCCCCCACCACTGGCTGCCTGACTCTCCGGCTGATGCCTGAAGCTGACAGACTCAGCTGACCCTCCGGGGTGGTGCTGGCTTTGAAGGGCCGTCAGGAGCGGAAACTCGCTTTGGCTCAGATGCTGCCTACGCCCAGGGAGCAGAAAGGGCGAATGACGTGACCGTGCTCAGTAAGGTGCGTGCCCAGCACTGGAGCTGCCATGTCAGTAACGTGCGAGCCCCAGAGCAGGGCGCTAGGACTGTGCTCCGGGGACAGTCCTCAGCAGCCCACCTCCTGACCTCAGCGGGAAAAGCTGCCGAGGACACCACATCCTCCACAGGCTCCCAGTTCCTGTCTGGTGCCAATTCAAGGCCCAGATCAGCTTTCCTTTCAGATCCCAGGGACACAGATACTCTGCCCCGGGATAATGCTGCTCACAATGACCAGACTGAAGCTCACAAGCACAAAACCTAAGCCAGAGAGATGGAGTGAGAGCCCTCCAGACTGACAATCTCCACCTCATCTTGCCATAGCTTGCTCAGGGAATTGCCTGTGTCTCGCACGCTGTTCCCTGACCGGGGAATTGACCTTGCATGGTGACTCTCCCTATGGACTTACGATCGTTGCTGTGCACGATCTGGAAGTTCTTGACGGAGGCATGGGTGACTCTGCCATGGAAGTTCAGGACGTAAGACTGGGTCTCATCATTCCATACCGGGGCCTTGTTGTGCAGCTCGATCAGGTTGTCCATGTTCTTGTTCTGCCATCTCGTAAGCAGCCCGTCATTATCCTGGGACCAGAGAGAAAACACGCTCAGGAGACAGCACAAGAAAGGCGTGTGTGAGTCTTTCTACCCCTGCGAATATTTCCCAGGATGTGCAGGGTCTGGATGAGGCTGTGTTTGCACACCCGTGTACTCCTCCCAACATCAAGGGGAGCTGGCCACGGAGATCCAAGGCGGTATATGGTCCCATGTGTGCATCCGGGCACTTGTCTGGACCTTCCATGCCCCTTTAAATCGTCTCCATGCTGTAGGCTTCTGCCATTCTGTTCGAGTTCTTATACCATGCCTGTCCCCGTGGCATCTGAGTGCCTGGGTGGGGAACTACCAGCTCCCTTAGGGATTGCTAAGAAGTGGGCTATGCCACGGAGGAAAGCGGGGGCCTGCTCCCAGCATTGCTGGCTGGTGCGCCAACTTACGTTTCGGGGCCGGATTGGCACCCGCTCATTGTCCGAATTCATTCCAGGGATGATCACGGTCATCTTCCGGGGTCCTTTGAACCCTAAAACGTTTGTCTCCTGAAACAGAAACCCCAGCGGTCTCCTCAGTACGTCACCGGAGGCTCACGCATGTCGAACAGGGAGAACAAACATCCCACTCAGGACTTAGCAGCTCTTTCCTGACCCACTCGTACCAGCAGCGCGCGTCCGGGACTCCCTATCGTGACCTGGATACGCAGTGCTCCACACTGCCCTGCCTCCCATCCAGATGTGCACGCAGCGCAGCTGGGATGCGTGTACGGAGAAGCTCATCCTGCCGCCGCCCAGGCTGTGCCTGCCCGGTGGCTCAACCTCTGCTCTCCAGGACAGGATGCAGGACAGCCGCGTTTACTGGCAGTGAATCCGGGAATCTCTCAGTCTGGCACAGACTGCAGCGGGCACAGGAGTCTGAGTAGCCACTGTGGGCTGCTGCCCAGTGAGCGCGGTTCTCTACCAGGGGAAGGTGGAAGGAGCCTATGTCTGTTACTTACATACACGACGGCTGACAGCTCCTGTCGCACGTTTGACCAGTCGGCGTTAGCTCTGTCGGGGTTCACACCATTATCAAACACGGTAAACTTAGTCCCCATTAAGTTGGATCTACAACAAAAGACAGAAATCGGGCTGAGGACCTGGGGGAGGGGGGTGTATGTGCCACCGTCACCCCTCTCCTGATCCTCTATTTGTCCTTCCTTAGGTTACCCTCTGTGCTGCTCTGAAAGGGGTCTCCAGGGCACCAGGGTATCTCAGCAGATGCCCCCCAGCAGCACAATCAAAGGGAGGAAACAGGAGGGAATGTGGGGTCTTTGCAGTGGTCCCCAAAGCCCAGATCTCTGTGCAGGGAGCGAGAGGAGCAGCTCTCCTCTACCAGAGTCTGTCAAGGACAGTCACTTACTGACAAGCACCTGATTAATGGGGAGTTGGGAGGGGCATGGGTTGTATCCTGCACAGGGAACAACCTGCACCAGGCCCAGCTCTGTACGGCCACATGAGACTCCAAGGCATGGAAGAGCTTCCTCCAGACCCAGCTGCCCCTTGCACACAGCTCCCCTGATCCATCGCACCCTTCAGTTTGCCTTGCACATTTGTGTAGATTGCTGGCATTTCCCTGGATAGCCAAGTGGGGCTGGATCTAGGCACAGAGGAGACTTGGGGGTCCCAATCCCACCGTGCTTCCCAATGACCCTTTTCACCAATGCAGCAACCAAGCAGGTCTCCTAACTGCAAATGCACCCTGGATTCCTTTACACCAGGGTTGTCGTGCTTTGAGGGGCTTTGTGGGTAAGATTCTGGATAGGCACCTGCTACACACAACTGAGCAGAAACATACACTCTGCAGCGGGAGAATAGCATGTCACAGACACTGGTCAGTTTGTGGGTGATTCCCATGGCCCCTGCACTAGTCCTGCTACACCCCCATATAAGTGGGGGCTTGTGTGCGCGCTGGTTTAACTTAAAAGGGTTTAAACAAGGGATGCAAAGTCTCACGTCGACCCTCGTAAATGGGTTTAAACTGGTTCTCTCTGTAACTTGCACCTGCAAAGTTACTCACTCATGCTACCTCGATGTAAGACGACGGGTTTGCACTGACCGAAGAGAGTCCACACACAGTGTTGTGCTGGTATAACAAAACCTGTTTGCAATCACACCTTTAGGTAAACTGGTGCAACTCTGCATGCAGAGCAGGTCTGGACTCCCTGGGCAGCTCTGTGCTTAGCCTACGCTTGAGGTAGCCCACCTCCGCTAGTCACTGCATTGCACTGAGCTAACATCCTGTCATTTATGGGTGCTCGCAGGGTGGAACCTGTCTCTGAACTGCCATACACACAGCTGCCTCCCACCCCCTGCTCCAACAGACCACAGTGAACTCCCCTGGCCGGCAGCGAAGGCTGCTGGGACGTGCAGGACTCCTCCCTGCTGAAAGCAGGGTCAAGAGGTGACCTCTCTCCCCTTCAGAAAGAACCAGACGAGCCAGTTCTCCCCTCCCTGCCCCCCAGCGCCAGTCCAGAAGCCAGATCTAGTCACAGGAGGCTCCAGTTCCAGCCAGAAAAGCTGTGACCCACAGCTGCAAAGTCAGAAGGACTCAACTGGGTCGCAGTGGGAAGCAGCAACCTAGACAACACGTGCACCCTCTTCGGCTCCTCGTTGTGTTTCCAAGCAGCTGCCAATCTTGGGTCCCCTCCCGCCAAGAGTTGTCTTTTGGGAGGCTGAACTGTGTGGGACTCATTCCTCCACCCGAGGGATTCAGTGCAAGCCCCGTTCCCCCTGCCCCATGTCCATGGGGGACATGTTCTCCCCACATCACCCATCGAAGGACCAGTTTCCACCCTATGTGCAGTATCAGTGCAGGGCCTGCACTGTAGATAGTAAGCCAACCTGCCCGAATGGAGCTGGGGGGGAAGCTGAATGGTGCAGTGTGGACCACATCTCCATGTAGGAAGGAGGGTACGTACATGGGGAAACTACACCTGAGCCCGGGAAGTGAGGGAAGCAGGGGTGGAAGGATCACCCCTTGCCCACTGTCTCCTGATAGCTTTTAGACATCAATTTAGTGCGAGTGAAAGGAGCCAGATGGACAGTCCTGGAGTCCTCTCTGTATCCCTGCAGCAGGGACAGACCAGAGAGGGACAGGGCTGGCTGCTCTCACGCTGCACCCACCAAGGGCCCATCCTGTTCTGGACGGACCCCTCTAGGGCTGAGATAAGAGTTCAGTCCCAATGGCCCAGACCGCCCCTGGATGCTCTGCCGAGGCTGCTAGCCAGGGGGCTGATTAGTGTCAAGTATGAAGGCATTTTTCATGATCAACTGTCCATGGGGAACACGATTGGGACCCACCAAATCACTGCCTGCAGCCTACCCAACAGCCCTCGGTTGGTGACCACTTGCACTCATTACCGACCAGGATGGGATCTGAACCCGTGACCCATCCCTCCCAACATGGGCTGTCAAGTTCTGTCTGGAGGGAAGGGCCCGGGAGCCCTCCACTTGCCACAGAGCATTCACTTCACCATGCAGCAGCGTTTGCTAAACCAGGGTTTTACACAATCCCAGCAGATGGGGCTTCAGAGCCGCAGGAACAGGAGAATGCAGGAAATCGCCCAGGCAGCAGGAGACCTAGGCTGGCATGATTCCAGCCGTACAGGGCAGACGCTGCAATATAGCAGATATTCTCACTTCACTCCCTGGCACAGTCACCTGCTGAGAAATTGCTCTGGACTCATGGAAATGGGAGGCGGGCCCGGACTCCATTTTGCCTGGTGCCACAGCTTTTCTCATACCTCAACTTCCCAATGAAGTTCTCTCCGCCTCGGGACAAATCAGTGGGATCAATGGAAATCAGGTAGTTCGAGGTCTTGCTCTTTTTCCGCTTCCGACCAGCCAGCAGGAACACCTGTCGGAGACGGGAAGGAAGGGGCGGGATTACAGGGGCTGAGCGGGGGTTGCTCAATTGTTGCAACTCACGGTAAGTAGGACTGAAGCCACACACCTTGAAGAACTTCTACCTGGCTCAAAACACACTCAAGCTGCTTACTAACAGGCTGCTGGGAGTACAGCACCTCCCTAGTAAATACAGAGCTCAGTACAAGGCCACTGTCCTGATATGCAAAGCCCTCTTGGTGACCTGCCTTAGCTACCATAGAGATCACATGTCTCCAGGACCACCACCGTCTGTGACGGTTGCCTTCCCTGGAACAATGAAACACCACACAGGAGAAGCTCGGAGTGCTCTGCAGGAGGCAGCTTTCACAGGAGCTGGGCCTAGACCCACTGACGCAAGAGATGGGAATGACTAGGGAGCTCACCATGTTCCAGACTAACTGCTAGACTCATGTCTGGGACTTAGATTTCCATGGATCCTTACCTTCCTTTGGGGGGGGTCTTTTTAAAGTCTCTGGGGATGGTGGTTCTTGGGCATTCTGGCTTGTGCAATAGGACAAGCTCATGAGGGCCAGTCTTGTGACATTTACGTGACCCATATTGCAGCAGAACAAGATACAAGAGGAGAGGGTGGCAGCCCAATGTCACCGGGCTGTGATTGTGATGACATCTTATGGGTCTCCCAAATGGAGACACTCTCAAAGACACTGGTTACGCGGTGACCCTGCCTGGGGAGTTCGGTTCTGTGCCGGGCCTTGTATTCACACACTGGGTATGTCTACGCTGCAAATTAAAACCCATGGTGCAGAGTCTCAGAGCCTGGGTTAATTGACTTGGGCTCTCAGGATATGCCTACACAGGGTATGCGAGGTGGGAAGGCCCCAAAGTCTACATAGCAATGGAACAGCCCCGCATCCCGAGCCCAAGTCACCTGGCCAGCCACGGGTTTTTCTTTGCATTGTAGACATACCCCCGTGGCGAGGGCTTTCTAACTGCACCTGCTGAGCGACAGAATCGCACTGGATGTAAAGAGCCTGGGGTATCTCCCAAGGCGGACTGTAGGAATATGGACGGAAGGGAACAGATCCATCAGCAGACAAATGCATTTCAAATCGCAAGCTGCAGCCCTACTCCAGGAGCAGCGTGAAAACTGCACCACTGAATCAGCATCACCATTGGAAATGGGGCATCAGCTCCTGGGAGGGGTGCATCTTCAGGGAGACACAGTGGGCCTGAACTGAACAGGAGCGCTGACAGTCACCCTTCTCCCAGCAGTACGCAGGCACACACCTACATGGCTGCCGCATGGGTCCGTGACACTGCTCTCAGGCTGCAGCAAAGAGGGGAAACCACCATGGAATATCAGGAGGCAGAGATGGGAAAGACTCATTGGGACAAACTCAGCCTTGGTGTATCTCCAGTGATGGCAATGGGCTTACGCCCGGGATGATTCTGACCTGTTAGGCCATTGTTCATCTCTATAGTACTTTGTCCAGCTTTAAGTGTCCCGACCAGCTCTACTCAGGAATTCTCCAACAAAACGTTTTTCGCGCCTGAGCAAAGGTTGGTTTCAACCAATCTCCCGAATCGAAGAACGTTTGAAACCTCCTGAAGCTGCCAGGATGGCTCGTTCCACAGGTCCAGAACAAAACCTTTCACTTTACGATTCAAAATGACATTCCCTTTCGACATCTCTGTCAATTCAACTGACACCAGGTTAAAAACCAAGTTACAAGGTCTGAGTGGAAGTGAAACATTTCAAACTTCGCGAAAAGGAACACTTTGATGGATGCCGGCTGAGATGATCATTGGCTCACCACGTTTTCTGAGATGGGGACTTTTTGCCTCATTTCAGGGTGGGAAAAATTGTGCAAAAACTCTCGCGGGGCAGGAAAACCATTCCCCACTGAGCTCTCACCCTGAGTGAGGGGTTTGCCCCGATCCCTGGGAGGCATACTCCACAGTCTAATAGGCTGGGACCTCATTTCACTGCTTGCCTTTTTCTCATTGTCCAGGTGCAGGTAATATGTAGGGTAGAGGCCCCGGTCCATCCCCTTCTTGTCTCGAGTGACCCGACACTTGATGGTCACCCCCTGAGGGGCCGGCCGCAGCACAAAGTCCTCCAGGTTGTCCACTTCGATGACAGGGGACGGCGGCCTCTCCTCCTTCTGTGGTCCAGCCAGCACCCAGGACGGAAAAGGGAGAAGGCTTTAGGGAGGGCTTGTTTCAGGCACACGCCGCTCTAGGGCTTTCCAGAAAGAAAGCATTAGCAGCCAGAAACACACCCACCGCCAAGTGTTGTGTGCCCAAACGTATCTCGCTCTGGCACTTTCCTTTCCCTTCCAGTCACAAAGCTGCTCCCTGGGCCATATTCCTCATCTCCCCTGGGTCTGGCCAGTCAAGTGCCAGGCTCCTCAGCATCTCCCTTCTCTGAACTCAGTCCCCCCAGCCACTGCGGGAACCTGCCGGGGCGACCCCCTCCCCCTGGCCACTGCAGGAACCTGCCGGGGCGACCCCCTCCTCCCAGCTGTTGTGGGAACCTGCCGGGAGCCCCTTTAGGCAGCCCCACCCTCCATTCTTTCTGTGGCCCTGCTCTGCGAGATGGGCTTCCTGCCCATCCTCCCGCCCTCCTTCAGCATTAACACCAGAAAGCTCCTGCGACTGCCCCTGGATTTGGCTCCGGGTCTGCCGTACCCCAGGGGTGAGGGAGCTTGTGAGGAAACCCCTGTTCCCAGTGCTGGCCATTAGCCCTGGCCTTTTACCTTCTTGGACTTCTTCCCTTTCCCTTTCTTATTGGAGTTCTTCTGAGGGCTTTCCGAGGCCTCTCCCTCGCTCCCCTCCCTGGCGGCTTTGGGGAGAGCTGCAGACAGAAACGCGCACAATGGGCATCGCCCGCTTTGCTGCCCAGAAGTGGCCCAGACCCCATCAGCCCAGCTCCGCCGGCATCGCAGCGGGATGGCGGGGAGGAGCTGAGCGCGCTGGCAGGTGGAGGGCACCGGTGGATTGATTGCCCCCCGGGAGCAGAGCATGTGGAATGGCCCGCACAGCCTACCGGCAGTGGCAGGTCATGACTGAAGCAATGTGATGGGTACCCTGCTAGCAAAGGGAGGGCAAGGGGATCCTAACTCGGTCACATTGAGCTGCTGGCCTGGACAAGCAGCCACTGGGGCATTTGTGCACGAGGCAAGTCAACGGACATGGCCGATTCCACTAGTTAAAGTAGCCAGCAGGGAGCAACACATTCTCCTCCTCTAGAGCCCAAATATATGACCCACAATAATACCCCCACCTGGTGAAGATGGAAGAGTTTGTAACCCCAGGGGTCCAGTATCTGCCCATGTGCTGCCCTGCTGCTGGCCCTGAGCAATGGGACTTGTACCTGTCTGTGCCCAGAGCCTGCCATGGTGCACCCCCAGCTCAGGGAGCACCCACCTTTCTTTTTGGTCTTCTTCTCTTTGTGGTTGTCGCCTCCCGCCTGGAACATGGAAGCTGTGTCCTTTTTCGTGTTGGGTTTGATTGGCTTGGTGCTGGAATCGGAGTCGTCTTCTGCCTCACTGTTCGTGAGAGCTGGGGCTATGGGGGGAGACACGCGCACAGAGGAATCAGTCAAGAGAGGGCTACGGATGCCTGTGCTAATGCTCGTGCCTTTCGTCTGAGAATCTCAAAGCCATCGAGAGACGCTGAAGATGGAGCCTGTATGCATCTGTCATGACAAGGGAATATTTCGCTCAGGAGAATGGAGTTACTCAGGGTGGGTTTTGGTCAAGATCTGGCTGGCGGCAGTCAAAAAAGCGACCAGAATGTTGGGAATCATTAAGAAAGGGGTAGATAATAAGACAGAAAATATCATGTTGCCTCTCTATAAATCCATGGTACGCCCACATCTTGAATACTGCGTGCAGATGTGGTCGCCCCATCTCAAAAAAGATATATTGGAATTGGAAAAGGTTCAGAAAAGGGCAACAAAAACTATTAGGGGTTTAGAACAGCTTCCGTATGAGGAGAGATTAATAAGACTGGGACTTTTCAGCTTGGAAAAGAGACGGCTAAGGAGGGATATGATTGAGGTCTATAAAATCATGACTGGTGTAAAGAAAGTAGATAAGGAAGTGTTGTTTACTCCTTCTCATAACACAAGAACTAAGGGTCACCAAATGAAATTAATAGACAGCAGGTTTAAAACAACAAAAGGAAGTATTTCTTCACACAACGCACAGTCAACCTGTGGAACTCCTTGCCAGAGGATGTTGTGAAGGCCAAGACTATAACAGGGTCCAAAAAAGAACTAGATAAATTCATGGAGGATAGGTCCATCAATGGTTATTAGCCAGGATGAGCAGGGATGGTGTCCCTAGCCTCTGTTTGCCAGAAGCTGGGAATGGGCGACAGGGGATGGATCATTTGATGATTCCCTGTTCTGTTCATTCCCTCTGGAGCTCTTGGCACTGGCCACTGTGGGAAGACAGGATGCTGGGTTGGATGGACCTTTGGTCTGACTCAGTATGGAAATTCTTATGTTTTTATGTAACACCTTCACTCTTCGGAGACGTGCCATGGGTCTATTACTGATCGCACGGGCCTCATCCAAACGTCATACAGCCACATGCTAGGGGAACCGGGTCAGCACTGAGGCAGGGCAGGGTGCTTCCCCTGCTGAAGCATCACCAGAGTTCCTGGGAGGTCTCTCATCCAAGTACTGACCACCCAGCCCTAGCCATATCCCAAGGACTCCTGTGGTACCAGTGGTGACTCTTTGTGCGCCCTTTGTTGATGACGAGAGCTCTGGGGGCCCAGGGGATGTATGGGCAGTTGTCGCCCTTCACCTTTCTTTTTGCCTTTTCTCTCCTTCTTGTCCCCGCTCACTTGGAACATGGACGTCGGCTCCTTCTTCATGGGCTTGGCAGCTCTGGGCTTGGCATCACAATCACTTTTGTCTCCTATTGGGAGGGAGAAAGGAGGAGGGAGAAAAGGGCAGAAGCAGGGAGGGCGGAGGGAATAGTGAGAGGTAAGTGATGGGGCGGGGGGAGGAGAGAGAGAGAACAGGGAGGAGTGGGGACAAGCCCGGGAGCAAGGAAAGAGGGAGGGGGAGGAATGGGGGAAAAGCCAGGTGTGTTGAGGGGAGAGCGCAAAGGGCAGGGAGGAGATGAGAGAGAGAAGGGGGACACAGGGATGTAACTTTGGGGCCTCTGGAGACGCAGACACAGGAGAGCCCCAGCCCTCTGCTGCCCTCCTCCCTCAGCCACTTCCCTGGAGGCTTGGGGCCTCAGCTGGCCAGTGGTCCCTGTTCATTCCCAGCCTGGGTGTTAACTGCTCAGTCCTGCTGACTTCCCTAATAACCACCCATTGCAACTCACCACCTCTGGCTGGCACTTCTCTCAGGCCAGCCCTGAGCCAGGGCTCTCCCTGGATCCGAGCTGCCCTCTCCATGCCCTGCCTGCGTCCAGGCCCCCATCTCCTGCTCTCTAGCAGTGTGTGTCCCTTAACACCCAGGCTGAGCTTGCTCCACTGACCCAGGGGGGAGAGAGATTCCCTGTTGGCCCCTCCAGGAGAAGGCTAATTGGAAGACAATGCTGAGAACACCCTGCCAGCAGAGGGTCTCTCCCTCAGCCATATGCTGGCGGGGAACTCGGACTCGGGCTCTGGCTGGGAGAAACAAATCCCCTGTGGTTTAGCCTCAAGGGTGCTTGATTGGAAAGAGCCTCGTCCGCCCCGCCATACACGACGGTGGATCCTCAGGCTCTGGAAGCTCAGCTCTGCGAAGGACTCTAAATGCTGAGGTCCATCTGACTTCCGGTCTGTCCGCTTACAAGGCGGAGACATCCCGAAGCCAGGCAAAGAAACACCAGCTCCAGCCCAGCTGCCTCGGTTGACAGGGAAATGGAAATATGCAGCAAAAGGATCCTTCCACTCCTGTCCCCTTGGGCATTTCCTGGAGAGGGACTCTGATGTACACACACAGATCCCCAGAGACAGAGGGTACCTCACCTGGCCTTGCCTCAACATAGCATCTGAGCACCTCACGCCCTTTGACCGGGCGGACTGTGGTCCCCATCGCACAGAACAGGGACTGAGGCTCGTAAAGGGGGAGTGACTTACCCAAGAGTCACACCCGGAGTCTGCGGAGGAGCAGGGAATTGACCCAGCTCCCCCAAGTCCTAGTCTAGCACCCTCACCGCTGAAGCATCCTTCCTCTCACTCACACAGCAGGGTTCACTCCCAGGGTTCACCTCCACATGCCAGCCCTTTCTCCGGGGCTCCAGCTGCTGACCTTTCAGCTTGGGTTTTCTCTCCCTGCTTTCTCCAGCTGGGATTTCTTTGGGGAGCTTCTTTTTTGGCTTCTTCGGCGGGTCATCGTTCTCCGCCTCCTCCTCCTCAGAGTTCTCTGGAAGTTTGGGGGTGGGGGGGAGCAGAGAGGGGATGAAATGAAGATTAAAGAAAAAGGGACACTGCCACATTACGACGGCTCCGCCTGCCCTGTTTAGAGGAACTTTCTCCACTGCTGGGGTCTAGCCTGGGGCCCACTGGACCTGGACCTACCCATTGCCGTATGTCAGCCATTGCTTACACCTCACCCATCCAGTGTCTGGGAGTCTAGTCCGTGCTGGGGCTCAAACCAAATTTGATCACGAATCCTGGAAAACTGGTTTCTAACCAGCTTGGCCAGCCAGTGTAAATGGATCAATCCAGGTGAGAAGAAAGCTTAAATGTGTGCTTAAAAGCCTACGTAGGAATCTCCAGTCCGGAGGGCTGCTCTGACTTCACTGGGCCCCCGCTGGGAACTCCCCCGCCCCCAAGTCAAACCGCTTTGAGAACCAGTTTGGGCAGCCTGGAGCGTGGCCTCCACTACACCAGCTGAACCAGTTTCAAACCTGGTTGGAAATGCTGGGGTGTAGATCAGGGCTTTTTACCCTAGGAGTTTACCCTATAGGAAATAGTAGGTTAGAAAATAAAGGCCGCTGTATTTGTGTGCAGGAGAGCGAGAGTTTGGGGTTGCGGAGGGCGTGTGGTACAAGGCTGCCACCTAGTGACTGTCTTGCCTCCTGGGCTTTTCCTAGGAGTCTGTGTAGTACACGCATCCCATGGGGAGTCATTTCCTCTATCCCTCGCCTCCTCCCTCCCTCCCCAGGAGAGACAGTCACAAGGAATGGAGCCATTGCCCATAGACACCCACCCTAGTGGGTCAGGGCGGGTGAAATATTTGTCTGGAAAATGGACCTTGTATGCATGAGAGGACAGGCATTAGAATGGGGCCGAAAACTGCAGCAGCCATCTGCCCATTCTGTGCAGCTGTCCTCTGAAAGCAGAGACGGGTGTTACTCACCCTACGTGGGAGCTGGGGGACTCTCTCAGGACATGTCCTTTCATTGCCTTTTACGGGTGGAGGGGGGATCGGTTCTCCAGCGGTGCCAAGAGTGTTTTCAGGAAGGCTTTCAGATGGGTTTGGATCGAAAGTACACAGCACATGTGGGAGGGCTGGGTTTGGACTGGGGCACATGGTGCTGTTTTGGGTTTGGATGGAGATTGTGTTGCAGTGTGATTTTTGGATTGTGGGATATGTGCAGAGCTGTGTGCTGGATTGAGTGAGTGAGTGAGTGAGAGAGAGGACTACATCTGCATGGCGTAGCTGTGTTTGGGTCAGGTCCTGCATGCAGAGCAGTGTGTTGGATTGGGAGCACAACGTGAGTGTACGAGGGTTGTGTTTGGCCAGGGACACGTGGCGTAGCTGTGTTTGGATTGCAGTGATGCATTGTGGCGTGCATGCCTGGCTGTTGTGTTTGGGCTGAGAGTGTAAAGCGAGTGTTATGTGGCTGGATTGTGACACGGGCAGGAGCCTGTGGCCTGTATGCTGGTGTGTGGCTGGTCGTGGCTGTGTGCTAGGTTTGGGTGCGGTGGGCGTGAGGGTCTGCAGCATGCATTAGAGACCCCCTGGGCGGAAGGGGCCCAATGCCTTCTTACCTTGCTTCTTTTTTGAGGCTTTGGCCACACTGAAATGCGACGTGGGATTTTCCTTCTTCTTCCTGGGCTCTTTGGTGGATTTGGGGTAGGGCTGCTTCTCGCTCTCTTCCTCCAGTTTCTCCTCCTTCTTCTTCCTCAGTTTCCTGACAGCTGCATGTGGAGAGAGTGGCCAGAGTGAGGACAGAAACACAGACCGGGACAGGCGGGGAGCTGGCAGTGGGAGCGGAACAGCACATGCTCTGTGTGGTGGGGCTTGGAATGAAGTCAGACTCCATATACCCCATAGCACATTGGCAGAGGGGAGAAGTGGATGGGGGTGCGTCTCGCCGGGGAAGGATGTAGGGGGGCCGTTTGTCTCTGGGAGGCCATGGAAGTGAGGCCCCCCAGCTGGGATTCTCAAGTCCTAGTCCCAGCGCGGGCACAGGCATAGAGAGATGGCCCGTGCCTTGTTCTGGGGACAAACCCAGGGCTTTGCTGGCTGCCCCTGTGCTGCTGGAGAGAAGGAGAGAGGCCGGAAACCAGCACAGAAGGGTAAGTGGTTCAGTGAATGCACAGCCCAGAGGGCAGCAGGTGTGGGCTGCAGTTGCATGTGTGATTCAGAACCCTCCCCGATTTATTATCACCCCATCCGCAGCTCCCAGGGGCTGCCTGTCCCCAGCTGTGGCCGAGCCGCTCACGTCTCTTACTCTGAGAGGGGGCACTGGGCTCCTCTGTGGGGCTCGGATCGTCCAACTTTTTCACTTTCGATTTCTTGGGCTTGGCTTCCAGCGTGGGCTCCTGGTGCTTCTTTTTCTGCTTCTGCCTTGGCAGGAGGCGCTGGATGGAGGGACACATCATTTACAGGCGTACAAAAGACCCAGTAACAGAGCCCCAGCCCTGGAGACCCTACAGTCCACAGGCAGGATTCTGTGCAACCCACTGCAATACAGAACATGCACGAGGGGGCCAGCACCCCTCTGCATGGGGGTGCAGTCTGCATAACTGGAACGCTTCCTGGGACAAGTGGGTCTCCACCGAGCCTCAGAGAGGAGGGGCAGGGTGATAGGAGGACATGAGAAAACCACAGTGGGCAGAACAGAGAGAGGCTGGAGTGGGCATGGGCAGGGAGCAGTGAGGAGAGAAGGGACGTGCAGGGAGGGGAAACTGAGGCGAGAGATCTAGGAGGGAACAGAGCTGCCAGGTGAGGATGAGAAGAATGATGCACCATGAGAGCAGGAGGTTATGCAGGCAGGAGAGGGGCAAAGGGTCCAATACAGAGACAGAGGGAGAGTGCAGAAGATAAAGGAAAAATCAGCCCAGCCCAATCTGTTCAGTATCTGGATCTACCTTCAAAACCAGACACACTCGCCAACTGACTAAGCAGAGATTTGAAAGAAATGCTCCAGTGAAGCACTGGCAAAGGTGAGGGCCAGGGATGAAGGGGCAGATGGAGGGGGCTAACAGAGCATGCAGGGAAGGGACCTAGCTGGCTAGGGAAGAAATCCCTATCCTAGATATCCCCTTCGCTGCTTGAAAAAAGCAGTTTTTCCTTAGTGGGTCCCGCCTTCAGCCCCTAGAGCCCGATTCCCATCTCGCCCAGCCTGGTATAAATCAGGAGTCGTTCCACAGGGCCTGATTCCCATCAGGAGTAACTCTGCTGAAGTAAACGGAGTTACCCTGATGTAAAAGCAGAGTGAATGAGATCAGAATCATGCCTGATATCTTTCTCCTGTTCTCAGTCCTCTATTCAGCAGTAACATTTTCCCCCTCACAATTTTAAAAAGACGTGGCCCAGCTGGTTCAAAAGTAAAGTTTTGTTGGGGGAAAAAAAAAGATGATCAAACAATCTTAATACACTGATTTCATCTTTTTTTAAACCTTTCCCCCCTTTCTTAACAAAATGAAAAGCATCGTTGTACAATAACGTGGATTTCTTTTCATCGTGCCCCTGCACCATCCACAACCCAAGCATTGCCCCGTTGTGCAAGGGCACGGGAGCCAGAGTGAAATGATCTGATCTGAAATGTCAAAAAGGAAACCACCACCACCAAATAAGAGAATTAGATTTTTTTAAAAATTTTAAACAGACTCCAACAAGAAACTGCTGAGCTTGAATTAGTATGCAAACTAGACACCATTAACTTGGGTTTGAATAGAGACTGGGAGTGGCTGGGTCATTACATGAAAGCTTATGCTCTAATAAATTTGTTCGTCTCTAAGGTGCCACAAGTCCTCCTGTTCTTTTTGCGGATACAGACTAACACAGCTGCTACTCTGAAACCTCCATCTTAAACCATTTCAGGGGTTAAAAGAAACACAGGGCCGGACCCCTTGGCTTTTTTTTTTTTAAATTGGATGTTTAATCTGATAGTGTTCCTTTAAGAGCTAACCATTAACACCTGGATCTTTCCTTCACAGTCATTCTGCCAGCAGGCTAATGTTGAGACATGCCCAGAAACAGGAGCCAGACAAGCCTTTCCTAGCCGTGGATGGTGTCCAGAAAGAGTCACAAATCGCCCAAAACTCAAACCAGGCTTCTTTATTACGTTCTATTCCGTCTTGTTTCATAGGCAGCCCTATGGATGGGGATGGAACTGCACCGTGGTCACTGTTTTTGTCGTGAATTTTGTGCTGACATAAGGGGAGAGATGGCCAGCCCTAGAGACTGATCAACGTCCTGCTACAGACCATGATCGGGCACATGCTGCCTTCACGCCATCCCATCCGGGATCTCCAGAAACCATTCCTAGGCTTGGATGGGCGCTCCCAGGCCACTTCAGACTTTGATCTCTTTGTTGAGATGGACAGTTAGTGTAGGCTGACCAGATAGCAAGTGTGAAAAATCAGGAAGTGGGTGGGGGGTAATGGGAGCCTATATAATCTCCTGGAATCTCCTTCCTTAGAAGTTTTTAAGGTCAGGCTTAACAAAGCCCTGGCTGGGATGATTTAATTGGGGATTGGTCCTGCTTTTGAGCAGGGGGTTGGACTAGATGACCTCCTGAGGTCCCTTCCAACCCTGTTATTCTATGATTCTATGATAAGAAAAAGCCCCAAATATCGAGGCTGTTCCTATAAAATCGGGACATTTGGTCACCCTAAGTTAGTGCTAACTGAGGGGGTGATGTCTGTGTTCAGAAACCATCCACTAGAGCCAAAACAGAGCCACTACCTGATGTCACAACCAGCCACTTGGTTACAACACCGTGGAACCCTCTTGGTCACTACCAACCTGCCATGATTTGGACTGGCAGAAACCATCCATAGGGCATTACCATTCCCCTGGGCTACTCGGCCACCTCTGTGCTCTTTCATTGTCTCGCTCAACCTGCTCCAGCGGCAGTTCTGCTGTTGTTGTGATGGGTGGGGATTGGTTTTTAAACAATCCAAAAATATCCTTCCAAGAATTCCTTGGGCCTCGGGGAAACAGCTTCAAAGAACAAACGAAAAGTCATATTGGGCTACATTCTTCTAAAAGTTTCTCCTGCCAAAATCATTTTTTTGAAGCCATCCTCCCGCTGAATTTCGTACTTTGCCCGCAAGTCTTTCGGGCACCTAGAGGGCTGTGTGGATTACGCTTCTTCCACAGTCTTCAGGTCGGAGTTTCCCCAAAATCTGTCCTGCTAGAGAATGGAATTCCTGAGAAGGCAGCATCCGTCGGCTACAGGAGCAGGTCAATTGGCAGTCGGAGTAGTTGCCTCCGGCCCCAGAACCAGCACATCGGAGCAATCTCCCCAGCACAACACAATCATCTCATTACATGTCAAGACCCTGTCCAGAGCCAATATGATACAGAGGAGAGTGACGAGGGGCTGCTGGCCAAGAGCCCAGAGCGCTGATGACTCAAACTTCTGGAGAGTTGATGCAGGTCAGTCTCTGGGGTTTAGTGATCACACAGTGTCACTAGCTGTTGAAATGCCCAGAGTAAATTGGAAAGGGAGCACTGCAGCCTTCCCACTCCCACTGGTGTAAGTCAGGAGAGATTCTCCGGAGCCGAGGGAGTTACCTCAGTGTAAAAGTGGTGGTAACAGGCTCAAAGCCAGGGCCAGGAGGACATGGGATATGCTGTCACGGGATGGGCCAGACAATTTGTGATGTGATGAAGGCGAAGACTATAACAGGGTTCAAAAAAGAACTAGATAAGTTCATGGAGGATAGGTCTGTTAATGGTAGAGATGCTGTCCCTAAGCTCTGATTGCCAGAAGGTGGGAATGGGCAACAGGGGCTGGATCACTTGATGATAACCTGTTCTGTTCATTCCCTCTGGGGCACCCGGCATTGGCCAGTATCGGAAGACAGGACACTGGGCTAGATGGACCTTTGGTCTGACCCAGGATGGCTGTTTGTTCTTATGGGGAAAGAGTGAAGAATTAAGCCAATGGATGGGGCTTGGCTACAGGTAAAACATCTCTCTGCTCAACTCCAGAACTGCTAGGCTGGGCAGACCAGAAGCCCGTCTAGCTCAGTATCATGTCTCTGACAATGGTCAGAACCAGCTGTTTGGAGGAAGATGTAAGAACCCTGCAGGAGGCAGAGCCGGGATAACCTGCCCGCAGCACTGGTCTCTAAGAGGTTGGCACCTCTAAAGCATGAAGTTGAACAACTACAGAATCATCGAAATGCGGGGCTGGAAGGGATCTCAAGAAGCCTACTCCAGCCTGCTGCGCTGAGGTGGGACCAAGTAAACCTAGACCAGCCCTGACAGGGGTTTGTCCAACCTGGTCTTAGAAACCTCCAATGACAGGGATTCCACACCCTCCCTTAGAAGCCTATTTCAGAGCTTAAACTACCCTGCCAGTGAGCAAGCTTTTCCTAATAACTAACCTAAATCTCCCCTGCTGCAGATTAAGCCCGTTACTTCTTGTCCTACCTTCAGTGGATGTGGAGAACAATTGCTCCCCGTCCTATTTATAACAGCCCTTAGCATATTTGAAGACCGTTATCAGGTCCCTCCCCCCACCCTCAGTCTTCTGACCATGCCCACTTTTTTAACCTTTCCTCACAGATCAGGTTTTCTAAACCTTTTGTCGCTCTCCTCTGGACCCTCTCCAATTTGTCCGCATCTTCCCTGAAGCGCGGCACCCAGAACCGGACCCAGGATTCCAGCTGACGCCTCGCCAGTGCCAAGTACAGTGGGATAGCTGTAACACTGCATATTCCTGATATCGATGTAAACAGCCAACCCCTTCTCTGAGCAGAGACAAGAGCAATAGAGGTTGAGGGGGGTTCATTAAAGGTGCAGAGAGTGATAAGGAAACAGGTTTGTGAGAGGAATTGGAGATCTCACAGCAGTTCCTAGTGGTCTCCACAGCTCAAAACACACCAGCTGGCCCTGGTTTGCCGGCACTCTCAGCAGAGAAGCCAAGGAATAAATGGCTTCTGAAGAATATGCTCCCCTCTGCAGTCCCTCAAGGTGCACACAGGCACCTTGGTGGTAGAAGTTTGCAGCTCTGGGACCTGTGCTGTACCTACTCTGGGGATAAAGGGAGGGTTTCAGTCTGCAGGGCTGGTATTACCTTTGCTTTAAAATAAAAATGACAACAGGCGAAGGGGACGAGGGGGTTTAGTCACATGGGCCATTGAAATGAATGGGAGCTGTGTGTCTAAGTCCCTGTGTCAGTGCTAAAACTCTCAGCCCAGCAGCTGAAAGCTTCTGAGGGTAGAATGTGCCTCATGCCCAGTTGCTAGCGATGGCTATCTCCCTCACCAAGAGAGGGCAGCATAGAAACGGGTCCGGCTCCAAACCTCGCCCAGCTCCTGGGGACGCCTGGCTCCGGATGTAAAAGCTCAGGCCCTTCTCTAACTAAACATCAAAATGACAGAGCAGGGAGGGGCGGCTG